GACACACCAGTGTCTTATGTACATGGGAAAGAAATGGTGCTGCTACAAACCTGCCCCTGCAGTGCCATCCACAGCCTCTTTGTCCTTCTGCATCACTGACAACCCCCAGCCCATCTTCCAGCTGCCTCCTCTTGCCTTGGCTCTGCTGGTCTGCACTGATAAAATGAGACAATTACAGTTTTTGCACCATGAGTTTGTGCCTTAACCTCTGACGGTGGAGGTTGCCCAGAGAAGCTGTGGCTGCCCCATCCCTGGAAGTGTTCAAGGCCAGGGTGAACGGGGCTTGGAGCAACCTGGTCTGGTGGAAGGTGTCCCTGCCCATGGTAGGGTTTGCAACGAGATGGTCTTTAAGGTTCCTCGCAACACAAACCAATCTGTGATTCTGTGACTTTGTGTCCTCTCTTTGTTCATCCACCTGCCGTTGCTTTGGCTCTGGGTTGCACAGGAGAAGGGAGATGAGCAGTGGCTGCTGCATCGTGTGTTCCAGCCTTCCCAGTACATCCCACGTAATCTGTGGGTGCTTTGCTTGTTACAGACACTTCAGAGAGGAGACTCCATTTGTGGCTTCTTCAGCAGCAAGCACATTGTTCTGATGAATAAATCATAGTAAAATGAACTGTGCAGCCTGGGTAAATGCATTTCTTTGTCCCATTACTTTGACAGTGTCTCAGTAGAAAAACAATATCACTTAAGCATAGAAAAGGCTTATTTGATCATCCAGATCAATTTTTTCTGTCAATTCCCGGGAGTATATTTCAAAATACCTGAATATCCTGGTGTCCCTGCCACTGCCTCCTGTGACATCTGTTTGTGCAGCTCCAGCTCTGTGGTGTTCAGGTGCCTGCTGTTGGTTTAGTAGGACAGAGGCTCTCATCTGCTCTGTCTTAATTAAATGAGCTTTATTTTAACAGTGTTTGAAATTTTGACAAGTAATAATAATAAAAAAAAAGAAGTTAAAGGAGGCTTCAAGAAATAATATAAAATCACATGGAAAGCAGGCTGAGCAGGGCTGTGGAGAAAAATTATCTTTTTCTGCGGAAGATTTTGGAAACTTAACAAGTTTTTGGTAACAGGTTCTGCAGAGGAGAGAAAAATGGGGGATGTGATAGATGAGTGAGAAGTGTGAGGATGACACTGACAAAACCAGCTGTGTAAACTCAGCCTTGAGTTAGTCTCCCCAAGCTGAGCAGAAATGTGTTTATGCTCCTTTATTCATGTTTTTTTATGGTAAGAATATTTCTCTCGATAATAGCCTGAACATAGAATTCTTTATTAATGGATTGTTTTAATAGCATGTCTCCCTTGGGGTTCTTTGTTTGTTTTGTATTGTGCACCATGCCAATCCTACAGGTTTTCTAGGGATGCCAAAACTAGGATTATTGTAGGTCTTTTTAGCCCCCTGACAACAGCAAGTCATTGTTCGGCTCCTTCAGAGAAAAACAAATACCCTGTTCTCAAAGGCTATGGATGAGCTGAGTACAAGTTATTTACTAATTGTCATAAAAAGATAGCTATAAAGGCATTCTCTGTCTGAGCAGAGAGGGTACATCATAGGACCGTTTTTGGAGGAAAGTTTTGGCTGAATGAAATCTCTGCTCTGTGAGCATCTCAGCCTAGAATTAACCTCAAGTGATTGATAGAAGAGTAATGGCAGTCTGTGAGAAGAGCCTGGAGGAAAGTTATGATCCCATTTTGATTCTGTAGCTTTGTTCAGTATGGGGAATTGGCTTCCTTTGGGCAGTATGGAAATTTAATGCTCTATTAGCTGGCCATTGTTTGTTTATACTTAATGTAGTTTAATAATATGAGTGAGGAAACTCAAAAAGGAATGAGCTGGTCCCTGAGAAACAGGATGTCTCTAGAAATTCTGTGGTCCTCTGAGGGATAACTCACTGCACTTCCAATATTTGTTTCCAATAAGAAACAATAGGTTTCTTTAATTTCCTTAATGTCACAGAACAGTTTGTGTTGGGAGGGACCTTTTAAAGATCATCATGTCCAGCCTCCTGCAATGAGCTAGACTAAGTTGCTCCATCCAACCTGGCCTTGAATGTTTCCAGGAATGAGGCATCCACAGCTTCTCTGGGCAACCTGTGCCAGTGTTTTACCACCCCTGTTGTGAAAAACTTCTTTCTTATATCTAAGAAAGATGATTTATTATAACTTTTCCCTATTCTTCCTTATTTTTTTTGTATTCTTTTGATTTTTTGTCTCATATTTTTTTATTATTGAGTTAGATCTTGAACTACCAAAAGACTTAGCCCATTTTGCCTTCTCTGATAAGTTGATAACCCCTCTGACTAATCCTACTTTAAAACAAGGCACTTACTTTGTTTCTGTTGAGAGTTAATTACCCAGGCTGTCACACAGCCCAAGGAAAAATGATATTTCATACGGTGGTGGAATAGAACTCTTTGGAGAACTGCCTAAGAAATGCTTCTCATAAATCTATCATGAGAAAATTTCTTTTACTTATCATAATGTATTATGAATTACTTTGAGTGGCAACCAAAGCAGATGGAATAGAATATTCGTGGGATTTTTATTTGGAGGGAAAAAAAGTGAGTCTATTTTGGAAATATTTGTGTATGTGTGTGCATGGGTGTCACCTCGCCAAGGTGAGCACACAGAGCATGCAGAGCTGAAATGTCTCGAACATGCGAACACCACTGCAACAGGGTCGGTCAGAAATAATTAAGATGCCCAATTCCAGTGGCTTTGGAGCTGCCAATGAAAAGCCATCGCAACACAGAGAGATCAGAGGTGGCAAAGGAAACCAGAGCACACTGTATGGGAGCGGGTCTGCAGCTTCAGGGAAGAGTTACAGCCTGAGTTACGGGGGAAGTGATTGCGGCTGTCAGGCTGCGGGGCGGCCGCTGTAAAGAAAGAGGGAACAGCACCATCACGGAGGATCATGAGAGGAGAAATGGAGCATCACTGAGCTGAAGGAGGGAACTGCTGCTGCTACTAGCAGTTTTTAAGGCACTGTTTACAAAAGCAACATCAGTATTTCTTGTACTCCTGGAAGGGAGATATTTTCTGGGGAATGGATGCCTAAATAAGCCTGGACCTTTTCTTGGTACTGACTTCAGTGTTGAGAGCGACGGTGAGGCAGCGTGTTGTTGCTGTGGGTGGATGCTCTGGCTGTAATACAGTCCTGGTTTGGAGTGAGGAGCAGTTCAGGCATTGTTTGGCTGGTAAATCCAGCTCTGAACCAGAACAATCTCTGTGCCTCAGCCCGATGTTTCATGGCATGTCTGAGGGTTCTGGACAGAAGCTGCTGCGGGGTTGGGTTTTGTTGTTTGGGTGTTTTTTCACTCCATGCTGCAGGGACTGTCACCTGGATAGAGTGGGGAAACCCTTCCTAAAAGAGTCATGAAATGAGCTAATTTGGTATTCTGTGGGTAAGGAATAGAGAGGGAGTGTTCGTGTGATGAAAACCAAAAAGAAAGGAAGGGCATAAAAATGAGAAACATCAGAAATGTGGTAGGGATGAAATTCAGTTATTTCCATGACCATCATTGCCACAGCTGTCAGGGGGATGAAGCTGCCTCTAATAAAGGCTGAT